CATGATTAGGAATAAAGTCATATGAGGCCACGTGATGAGAACCATACCAATTCTAAACTTATATGCACGCAATGCCTCAATTCACATAAAAAAGAAAATGAGTAGTTTTTCAACAAAATACTATTATACTGATTACTTCTCATATTACTTTTACTACTCTATCTGCACGTTGCTTTTGTTCATGCATATGACCAAATAACATCACTGAAACTCCACTCCATTCCATCAAGTCAAAATCAATTCTCTCATATATGAAGTTTAAAAAACAACACAGCTTTCAAATTCATATTTTTAAAAAGGTGATCTCACCATGAATAAGCAAGATTACAGAGACATTATACAGATTATACATTTCCTTACTAGCTAAGTGTTCTTGTTTAGAGGGCAATTGTTTTAGTCTGTTTTGTGTTGCTATAACAGAAACATCTGAGACTGGGTAATTTATAAAGGAAATGTAGATATGCAAACATATATATTAAAATGATGTCCTCAATAAAAGAACAAAACAAATATACTTAAAAATAGATTTTACTGGGCTGGCCCGTGGCTCACTCGGGAGAGTGTGGTGCTGATAACACCAAGGCCCCGGGTTCGGATCCCATATGGGGATGGCCGGTTGGCTCACTGGCTGAGCGTGGTGCTGACAACACCAAGTCAAGGGTTAAGATCCCCTTACTGGTCATCTTTTAAAAAAAAATAGATTTTACTGTGTTTTAAAGAAATCATACAGTAATTGTACAGATGAACCATCAATCCTACTTGTAGGACTCTACCCTGAAGATACACCTCCCGTCATAAAAAAATATAGACAAATTTATTCACTACATCACTACATGGATATAGACAAATTCATTCACTACATCACTACATGTATACCAGAAACAACTTAAATGCCCATATATAGGAAATTGGCTGAATAAACGATGCTCCACCTGCACAACGGAGTACTACATCTCTGTAAAAAATAAAAATAAAGGAAGATCTCTATAATCTGATGCAGAGAGATTACAAGGACATACTCTTAACTGAAAAAATGAATGTCATCCTTCATCTAAGAAATAAAGACATACAAGAAAATACACATGTATCTGCTATTTGTGCAAAAGAAATAAAGGTTAAAGCAGAAACTAAAAAGTGACTTACAGTGGGTAGATGTAAGTGATAGAAATAAGGTCTGATGCAGAGAGATTACAAGGACATACTCTTAACTGAAAAAATGAATGTCATCTTTCATCTAAGAAATAAAGACATACAAGAAAATACACATGTATCTGCTATTTGTGCAAAAGAAATAAAGAAAGGTTAAAGCAGAAACTAAAAAGTGACTTACAGTGGGTAGATGTAAGTGATAGAAATAAGCTGGGAATGGGAATGTCGTAGGAGGAAAGAGGAGGGTTGACACTTCTCTGTGTAAATCTTTTTATACAGTTCTGACTCTTAGAACCCCATTAATGTTTCACATTCTTTTCACATACCCCCAAAATAAACCATTAAAACTAACCAGGATGTGGAGAGAACCCACAATAGAATACACACAGTAACAAATAAGCCTAATTATAATGCAAATGAATAATAATCACAATGAAGAGGGTGGGAAAGAAAAGAACCCAAGTAAATTTGAAAAATTTTCTTGACGGATAATACAAAGCTGAAGACAAAAAAACCATAAATAGTGTAATGTAGTTAAATAAATGTGTTTCTCCTGGGGGTACAAATTAGCACTTCTGAAATTACTTTATGTGCATATTAGTTTGAAAAAACAATGAGTAAATAAATACATTGTGGATAAGAGTCAGGATTTTCAATGTTGGAGAAAGAAGTCCCAAATAAGGAAAAACTGAAATGAATCTTGTGGTATTAGATTTGAATCAGAAGTATCAGTATAAACTCGTAATTTTTAATACACAGACATATATAAATAATGTGTATTGATTAGTTTATATACATATATTTCCTAGCAGTATCCACTGAAAAGCCCAAAAAGCAACGTCACCCCAGTGACAATAAGCATGCTTAAGTAAGCAAATCCTGGTTTGTAAACACCATTCTCCAACAAAAGATATCAGGGATCCATGAAGAAGTGCTTGATTCCAGGGATGGAACAGGAAAAATACAAGACAAGATTGTATTATTTTGTGGTGTCAGAGTAACAAAGTGTTCAAAAATAACAAAAGCTTGCTGAAAGAACTCAGGAGCTAACTCAAAGGAGTTCCTAATGGCCAACAGCAGAACAATTTGAGCAACAAAACAAGGATAGTATTGGATTTTAACCCATAGAATAAAATAAGTATCCAGGATTCCACATTGATACAAATAATTAAATAAATTAATAAATGGGGAGAAATAGAGGCACTGATTTTAATTACAAAAAAATTCCAAGAAATAAACGTAGAAGGAAAAGACAAAACAGAAAATCACATTAGGCATATCGCATAGCGATTAACTGTTGCACACAATATCCACCAATAAATGCAAACATTAGTGGGTTTGAAGAGAAAAAGATTTGCATAGTCTCAAAGTATCTCTCCTAAGATATTAAATACAAAGGAAAAGACAGTAACTTTTCAGTGGAGATATCTGACCATCTTAACCAAGTGATATAGGTTAACATATATGAAGTAAGGACCCCCTTGAAATGTCACACTAGGATTTACCTCTGATATAAACCTCCTAATATTATGCATTTCTGTGGTATTCTTGTCAACAATGCAAAACCTCATTCTAATCACGTGAGTACATCAAACAAATCCAAATTAAGGAACATCCTACAAAATACCCTACCAGTACTCTTCAAAATTTTCAGTCATAAAAGACAAGGAAAAACTGAGGAACTATCAGAGGTTGGAGGAGACTAAGGAGCAATAATAAATAAATGTAAGGTACGGTCCTAGATAGAACCCTGGAAAAGAAAAAGAACATTAGTGGAAAAGTTGGCAAAATTCCAGTAAGATCTGTAGTTTATAGTATTACACCAATATGAATTTCCTGGTTTTGATCACTGTACTACGGTTATACGTTATAATATTACGGGAAGCTGGATGAGGGGGTACGTGGTAACTCTGTGCTATTATGAGCAACTTTTCTGTAGGACTAAAATTAGTTCAAAATAAAAAGTTAGAAAAAAATGAATCTCTTGGTCTGCTGTTCAGTTTCATAATGGTTTAAAACAGATCACTTAAGAACAGTTTCATTTTGTCCCACTGAAACTTAAATTTAATACAGAAAAGAAAGGCATAATTTCAAGTTACAATTTAAAATTCTGCTATAAGACTGAAGCTATGAAATGGAGCGACACTATTTCATTTGGTCTTCAGCGGAACATACAAAAATGTGCTACTGAACACTTTTTCTTTGCTTTTACTACCATCTCGTTCTATGAGGAAAGACCTATTTGAAGGAAGTAACACAGACTACATAAACAGCAAGCTTAAAATGAAGTTCATGAACATGAAAAATTATTTAATGACAGTACTCTTGAAATTACACATCTGTAAAGAACACCACAATAGCCCTGTAATAACGTTTGTTTCTGGCGGGGGGGAAAACGTCTAGCACAGAAATGCTCACTTGAATAGCAGTTGGAAATGGTGGCTCCTTTGTGTATGTGATTTGTCCTCTTGTTTTGGTTTGGGGGGAGGGGAGGTAGACTAAAAGAAAAAGTTTTAAACCACAAAATATATGCATAGTTGATCAAAATTTAGTGTAGAACAAATCTACATTTTTAGGTGATCTTTCACAATCAGTCCCTCTGTTCTGAATTACCCATTAACTAGTGGGGATTCAAGCTCACTCCCTTATCTTTAAAATACATATTCATAAAACTTTTACAGTTATGCTGTTCTAGTTACAAATAGCTTCTACTTTTCTAGGACATAATTTCACTTTGTTTAAGCAAGAATTCATTAAAGAAGCTATAAATAACCGTTAAATATTTAGCCATGAATAGAGGGTGGACTGGCATTGATGGCTTATTTTAGTACTAATGCAGGATGCTTTTTAAAAGCTACATTTTAGCATGCATCAAGCTAATGATTAACACTTGCAGTGTAATTTTCAATGTTAGAATAAATTTCTCCTTATTTTAAGGAGTTTGCTAAAAGTAAATATGTTATTTCAATTATTTACTAGTAGGAAAGTAGCCTTAAAGAATGAAAATGTAGGAAAGATTAAAACATACAAACTTTTTATTGAAAAAAATCTTTTTTTTTAAACAGCTAGACAACCTTTCCTTCTCTACTAAAACATAATCCCAGTGAAAACTGCACATACCAGGGAAGAAATGCCTATGAAACTGTAAGAATTCAAGAATCTGTTGTGTGGTGTATGTAGCATATATATGAATCAAAGACATTTCTAAACTCAATTCTGAATCATAACATTCACAACATTTTAGAGACCAAGTTTCATAAAATTTTTACTTGAAGAAAAAAAGAAACATTTTACAAAATATCATTCTTCCAATCAGAAACTTTCCCACAGGGTATATGTAGCTCTCTGCCTTAAAAATTATAGTATGACATTCAAAGTGGAGAGGTTTTTTTAAATAGCCACCTAGCTGCAAAACCTACAAGAAGTAGATTTTTTTAAAGTGCCTTTAAAATGCAAAAGCAAGTAATATAATTGTTGAATCTATCTGAAATTTTAAAAGTTTCTTTAAAATGGTCCATATGGCATGCACAACCTCACAGCTGGTACAAAACTGCCTGTATTTAGTTTGAAACACAAAAACAATGCGTATGAACAGTATTCTTGGAAAAATAATTAGAAATGCTGCTACTGCATCATAAGGCAAAACCTAGACAAGTGTGTTGACAATATTCAGAAAATTAACAAAACAAGCTGAATATTAAAGTATTTAAACATTTACTTTGATTTTTTTTTTAATACCACTGATAAGGGTAAGAGAACTTGCTGTCAAACTAATGCAGGATGCCTTATTTCAAACTACATGTAACATATTTTGCTATATATACTCTAAACAAATGCACAACTGCATTTTAGGATGTAAATTCCCATTTTCCTAGGCAGGGCCTAGTTTTTCTGTTGCAATCTGGCAGCTTTGAACTTTGAAACTCTTTTTGCAGTATCTTCTGATACTTCTGACAGAACTTCTTTTCGTTCTGGAATGGTGGGTAGTACAGGATAAGCAATGGCTGGGTGTGGTGTTAAGGAGGACAATAAAAATTCTTTTTCTATTACAGTTCCAGAAAAAGCCTAGAAGACAAAAGTCAGGTTATGGTAATAAAATGTAAATAAGACATCCACAATATCTTTACTCTATTTATCAATTAGACATTTCTTTCCATTAAAAGTAAATTCACAAGATTTTTGGATAGACAACACTATAACATCAAAATAGTAATTGTTCAAAAAAACCAAGCACCATTAAAATTCTTCTTAATTACATCACCAAATATAAGTAATTTTTATAGTGCACATGCAAGAAAACAAAATGTAAAATGCTTATCTTATTTTAGAAAAAGCAAAAATGGATAAATAAAAGGTCCTCAAACTTTCATTGTATTCATGTCCAGCCCATGCTGTGAAAAATAATGTATTAAAATTAAAAATGCTATTAGGGTGTCAAATTCAGACTTTTGTACATCAGTTGATGAATGAGCTATCCTATGGTGGCCAGGCTGCCTGCTAGCCAACAGCTTAGTTTCTTTCACCAGTATTGACGTATCTATCAGTGGTGTGTTCATTTGTACAATTCTTTGAATGTTTTATTGCATCTTGCTTCAATTTGATTTAAGAGATTAGTGGAAACTTAAAAAATCAAAGTGCTGATATTAGTGGGAATAAGTGTAGGTTTCAAAATTTTACTAGTTAATGCAATGATGAAAATCAGAAGTTCCGCAAAAAATGACTCTTTAATTTCAACAGGATGTTTGCTGGACTTAATCTGGTCAATTTTATGTTCAACTGGAACAAAATTAAATAATATGTAAAAATTGCTGGAATTATCTTCATATAACATTTTATATAAAGATATATAAAAATTTCTGGTATTTGGGACTCTACCTTTACATCTTCTAAGAACTTATTATGACTAAAATTTGACATACAAATTTCCATGGATAGTTTGCTTCCCTTTACCTACCAAGTGCTCAAAATTAGTCAAGACAATGTATCACCTGAATAGTTTAAAAAGCCACCCTCCACCTCACCCTGCTGAAACAAAAACAAACAATGTCACCTCTCTTTGGCATTATTTTTGGAATCCAGCTCTTAAAAGCAGCTCAAAGCTTACTCTTTTTTAAAAACTCCACTTTATCATGATGAGCATAGAGCTTTCTTATTATATTAAAAACAATTTCAAAAAAGACAATATTTTAGGATTTAAAGATACTGAAAAATTATCTCTCAAAATACTTAACAAAATCATTAACTACTCCTTTGAAGTCAAAAAGTTTATAGCATCTATTATAACAGTTTAATACAAAATGCAAAGCTAGGGCCACGCCCGTGGCACACTCGGGAGAGTGCAGTGCTGGGAGCGCACAGCAGTGCTCCCGCCGCGAGTTCGGATCCTATATAGGGATGACCGGTGCGCTCACAGTGCTCACAGGCTGAGCGCGGTGCAGCTGGTCTCAAAAAGGCCAAAAAAAAAAAAAAAGGACAAAATGCAAAGCCAAAAAGAGTGAAATAAAAATAAGTTCCATACTCTGTAGCTGTACCATGATACATTAAGTCCTTACAAAATCATTATTTTCAAATACTTACTGGAAAAAATCTACATCCATTACCTGTTTTCTAAAGGTAGGGAAGACTATTTAAGGCAAGATACTTTCCAGGTCATCTAAGATCATTATACTGGGGGGAAGGGAGAATATTTTAATCATATGTACTGTCCCTAAATGGTAATGATTCATCCCCAATTACCATTTAGTACACTTAGCACAATTAGTACTATTAAGTACCAGTAATGAAATTTTTACATATGCCTATTTATATATAAATATAAATATTTTATATGTACTTAACTATATATACAAATGTTTATATTGGTTTTATACAGGTGTGAGTTCCCCAGTCTTCCTAAATACTTTTTAAATTGAAAACTTCAAATACCACCAAAACAAAAGAGTAAAACAATCAAGTCTGGGTATAATGGAAACCAAACCATATATTTCTTTTTTTTTTTTTTGTCCTTTTTGAGACCGGCCGCACCGCACTCAGCCAGTGAGCGCTGTGAGCGCACCGGTCATCCCTATATAGGATCCGAACCCGCGGCGGGAGCGCTGCTGCGCTCCCAGCGCCGCACTCTCCCGAGTGCGCCACGGGCTCTGCCCAAACCATATATTTCATAGATAGAAATTCTTATTTTAGGATCTCCCAACACCCTCCCACCGCCTCACCCCCCAAACTATATACAACATGGTGGGTAAAAGTGTATGAGTGAGCACTAATTTTTTTTTGAAGAAGGTCTACAGCTTTCATCAGTTTATAAAATGATTCCATAATCCCCCAGGAGTTAAGTTTCACCGGCACAGGCCAAATCATAGAAGAGTTTAGATAATTATCTGCCATGTATATATTTTTTTGTTTAACCAAAGTATCTAAAAGAGAACAGTATAATCTGCTATGTAAACTACCAAAAAATGACTACAGTCTGGTCTGTCAGTAATCATATTTAAAATAAACTACTAAATAATTGTCTAGCCAAAAATTTAACACATATGCCAATTAAGATATTTTTGAATTCCCATTTCACAGAAATAGAACTTCAAGACAAGCCATACTTTAACAAAAAATATTTTTGAGCTATTTTAATATGACAATTTTACCTGTACTGTTTGCTAGTTACTATAAATTTTTTAAAAATTATCATCAAAAAAGTACAAACCTAGTATTCAATGAATCCTATGTTTTTTAGGTTAAACAGCAAAAATCAGTCAAAGATACTATATGAAATTGAGTTAAAGATACATACCTCAGGTGCTCCTGATAAAGGCAGAAGTTTCTTTTGATGATTTTCTTGTTGCAGTTCCTCTTCCAAAATGCTCTCACTGGTGTCACTGCAAGTGGCTTCTTCACAGCTAATACTCCTCAAAACTCCCCGTCTATCATCAAATTCAGCAGCACTGCTTTCACTGGTATCACTACAAACACTGTTCTCTCTGCTTCGAGACTTCAGGATTGATTTACGAGGGACATATTCTCCATTCACAACATCAACAAAGACTCTATAATATTCAAACAACACACACTTACTTTAGGTAACTCGTAAAACTGAGAATAACTTTATAAGAATTTCTTTAAATCTTTTCTAGAAATTAATCTAAAATTTTTAATTAAAACTTTATATCTAAAATTTTCACATTCACAATAATTCTGGACCCTCAAATGACATATTTTATTTTTTGGCCTAAAAAAATAAGGCACATTTATAAGCATGTTCTAGGTGATAACAGCTTAATGAGCCAAAATTCTATACAATTTTAGATCTACTTATAACATACTTAGTGATTTTCACTGTTTTACAAATATGGGTCATGAAAACAGTAGGTATTTTCAATTGATAGCTTTTTCAAAAAACACCACAACAAAAAACTGAAATAGTGTAATTAATTTCTACTCTGAAAAGGTAAACTGCATGCCAAGCATGTTATAGCTGTGGTAGGAAAGTACTGCCCTAGCCCATTAGGAACACAAACTTTCTTTCTAAAGTTAAGATACAAGATTTTCTTTTTCTTTTTTTTTTTTTTTTTTTTTTCGTGACCGGAAAGGGGATCGCAACCCTTGGCTTGGTGTCGCCCGCACCGCGCTCAGCCAGTAAGCGCACCGGCCATTCCTATATAGGATCTGAACCCGTGGCGGGAGCATCGCTGCACTCCCAGAGCTACACTCTCCTGAGTGCGCCACGGGGTCAGCCCAAGATACAAGATTTTCTGACTAGACCAATTGGGAATGTTTCAAAAACACATGCAAAGGAGAAAAGGGAAAAAACATGCAACATTCCAACTGCTTTAGATTGGGAAAGCTTTCAAATACTAAGCTAATTCCATCAGAATATGTCTCTATTCAGTAAGTCTTCTGCGTTGCAGACAATCTTTTCCTATAAATGCTCACTTGCAAAAAGATGGAAGGGATCAGCAGATTGCCCTGCAGTCTGTGAATATCACTCACCTGTAAATGTCAGCAGGTGTCCTGATAGTAGGCAGCTCATGCACAGAATGACCACTGCTAGTGCTGTTTTTTCGTTTACGTTTGGCTTCTTCTTTCTTTTCACTGAATTTTAAAGTGGTGTTTTTTCCAGTATTTATTCGGACCTAAAAATTTCACAGCAAAAATCTAAGAACCTTTTGAGAAATTAAATGAAGGCCAAAACTAAAACAAATACCGTATAATTAAAAAAAACACCGTTGGTCCTCCATATCTGTGGTTCCACTTGCATAAATTCAACCAACTGCATATCGAAAATATTTTTTTAAAAAACTGCATTTGTACTAAATATGTACAGATATTTTTCTTGTCATTATTCTTTAAATAATACAGTATAACAACTATTTATATAGCATTTACACTGTATTAGTTATTATAAGTAATCTACAGATGATTTAAAGTATACAGGACATGGATGTGCATAGGTTATATGCATTTATTATGCCATTTTATATCAGGGACTTGAGCATCTTTGGATTTTGGTGTCCGAGGTAGGTCCTGAAACCAATCCTCCATGGATACTGAGAAATGACTGTAACAGTAAGGGAGGCAGTTGAAATTTTTTGGTGCTGAAATGATGTGCATTATCAGATAGGACAAAAAAGTCCTCATCTTTATTTCTATGACATTAAATTATATCTTCTTTAATGAACAATTCCAGTCTTCAGTGTTTTTATTAATGTTTATAAAGCAAAATACACTTAAACTAAATGGTAGATTCATTATAAGCCTCACATCCTTCCATTACTTAGATATTAATTGTTTGACTTAAATCATGCATTTCAAAACAAAGAGCACAATTAACCAAAAAATAAAAAAAATTCAGTAAGAATATAACACTTAAGTCATAAAAGCAATTAGATGATGCTCAACTACTTAAAATTTTTTAAACACTTCTAAATTTTAAGAAATTGAAAAACTAAAAACTAAAACTAACCCTGTTCAGAATTACTGTTATTCTTCTATCTCTACTTGGCATTTATGCCACACTTTCCATATTAATGACTATTCTTTCCCGTAACATCCCTGCAAATATTATTTCTTTTGTTTATCTAAATGAAATTAAGAAAAAATTAAAAGCCTGGAAAAAGAATCCTAAAACCAACTCTTTTTTTTGGCTTATCATTTCAGTCAACTTTTTCCAAAGAATTCAGGAAATGATCTCTTTAGTTGGATATATTAGAATATTTTTTAAAAAGCTGTATAATTATTTCACTTCATATTACAACAGTGATAAGGAACCTAAACATAATCAAATATGTTTTAAACATGTTTCATTAAATAATAATCACAGACCCTTAAGACTGATACCACAGACCCCTAACTGTTACAGGTAATTGGGATACCACGTGTAGAAAGAACACTAAACTGAGACAAAAGATTCCCTGTTTTATTACTAACCAGCTCTATGTCTTCTAGGCCTTAAGTTTCCCTGAGAAAGACAAATTAGACAGATAAATTCCCAGTGGCTCCTTACAGCAATATAGGAACAGAGACAGGGCAAAGATAGACTTAGGGTAGCCTATCTTTCCTCTAACCAGAGCTAACCTGCTTTGATCTATTTTAAATACAGGGTTTCTACAATAAGGATTCAGGAGACAAAAGGCTTTTGATGCTAAAGAAAAGCTGGAAAACCTTGTTTTAGAAGATCTCTACAGTCACTCCCAGCTCTAAAATGCCAAAATTCTCAAGTCACAATTGCCCACAGTTGTTTGTATTTACTTTGTCAGAAAGGGAATTTTTACTTCCTCTTAAATTTTCCCTTTTTGCTCATGATGTTCTTAATCATTTTATGCCTACAAAGAAAACAAATACCCAGTATAATTAAAAATTAACTACTGTAGTAACTTTCAACATTCTAAGCACACCAAAATACCCGCAATATAATTAACTCCAGGATTCTTAAGAAAACTCTCTGGACAAAGGACAGGTGGAGTTACTGTTGTTGCCATTCAAATCCAATTCCTTTCCAGACCCAAACAACTCAAATTCTATTGTGGCTTCAGAGAACAATGAATTAATATCAGCTAACTAACTAGAAACTTTTTTTCCTTTTCAGATAAATTGGTTGGAATAAGAGGCAAAAGATTTTCCTGTTTGGCACTACCAACAATATTAATCACTATTAATATTTTTCTTTTAAAAAATATCATAGGTGATGTTTAATGTTCAAATTATATGCAAAGTTACTAAAGTTAAAAGTATACAAACCCTTTTAGGTTCAACAGTATGAGAAAAATATATTGTTGGTACAGAATTATCTCCAACCCCTAAAGCATCATGGTCATTTTCATTATCACCATCATCTTCATCATCATCTTCATCTTCATCATCTTCTTCCTCATCATCATCTTCATTATTGTGGCAAGAATTTGAACCATTCACTGAACAGTTCAATTGACTATTCACTTGACCACTGAACATTTCTGAACTTGTTATATCCTTCTGACAATTACTGGGAGTAAGAGAGGCTGTTACTGGATGCATCACATTCACATTTGGGTTTTGATCTTCTTTTTCCTCTTCAGAAGATGTTGTATCTTCTCCATTTGCAATCACAGTATCAAGCTTACTAAAAGAAAGTGAGAAAATTAACTAACAAGATCAAACAAACATACTAGAATTTTACATATTCTAATTTTCAGTTTATTTCAATAGGTATGAACTAAGATTTTGAATAAGGTATTTTTTAAGCCAGAATTCTAGGTTAAAAAAGAAAAAAGTTTTGAAATAAATTAACAAAAAAACATTAGTTCCTATGCCACTCTGGTATCTTGCAATTTTTCAACCATGAGCAGAATACAGCAGATGAAATTTTTTGTCTTTGCAAAGACGAAGCTGGCCACACACAATAGAAATTCAAGTCAATAATACAGGAAGAAATTTGTAAGAACTTCAGAGAATATGTATTCATATTTAAAGTCCAAAAATTAAAGCCCCAGATCTATAACACATTATTTTCTATTTTTAGACTCAGAATATTTTAAGCATGTATTACTGTAATTTTAAAAATAAAGGATTTGTACATATGCACGTAAATATATTTATACACACAAATGCACATTTATCATGCTTCACTCTGTAAAGGAATTGAAGACCTTACAAAAATAACAAAACCAAAAATAACATCATGCAAAAATAGAAGGAGAATCATAACCAAGAAAATCACGATTGAAAACTAGTTTTAAAAATGAAATAGTACCAGTTACCAAAAAGATCTAAGAATTTACAGGTGAAATGGCAGAAAGAAAATTGTTTGTGCTTCATGTCCTATTTTTCACAGAAACTAATTACTGCATATGGTACATCATTTAAGGAAAATAATATAGGAACTTCTGTAGTAGCAGACTTCATTTAGCACTTTGACAATTCTAAGTGAGTGCTAATGTGTATTTCAAACAGCAGTTTGGTGAAGTTTCTCATACATGTAACTACCTGACCAGATTACAAATTGCCTGCTCAATAAACAGAAAAGTTTGCAAAAGGAAAGCAAGCATAAACATTTTATAGTATCAAAATTAAATTCCAAGCAAATTTTTCTTTCTAACAAGTAATTCAAAGATGGAGCATTATTCTGAGTGCAGTGTAAAAATACTGTAGCCCTTCTCCCATTATTCACAGTTTCACTTTCCAAGGTTTCAGTTACCTACGGTCAACCACGAAACGAAAATAGGTGCGTACAGAGTACAATAAGGTACTTTGAAAGGGGAGACAGACCATATTCACATAGTTCTATTACAGTATACTGTTATAATTGTTCTTTTTTATTATTGTTATCAATCTCTTATTATGCCTAAATTAAACTTTATCACAGGTACATATGTATAGGAAAAACACAGTATATATAGGGTTTGTTACCATCCACTGTTTCAGGCATCCACTCGGGGTCTTGGACCGATCCCCCATGGATAAGGGGAGACTAACTGTACTTCACTTAAAATTTAATATATAAAGCACCCATAATTATTAAAAGTCAATTTTCTACTATAATAACTTCATTATGTAAAATATGGCTAAAATCTTATAATAAAAAATGGAGATGTTGATTTTAAGTATTTATGTACATGTGCATACATGGGAATGAGCCCCATAATTATTAAAAGTCAATTTTCTACTATAATAACTTCATTATGTAAAATATGGCTAAAATCTTTTAATAAAAAATGGAGATGTTGATTTTAAGTATTTATGTACATGTGCATACATGGGAATGAGCACAAACACAGTCCTAAAAGAAAATGCTCTAGAAAATATTTATCTTGGTGTGAAAATATTATTGATGATTTAATACATTATGCTTTTCTGCATTTTATTCAATGAGCCCATAATATTTTATTAATGAGGGAAAAGATTAATGAGGAAATGTGCATAGAAACAAATTTTCTTGAAAAGATAATCTGTTATTAGGTACCTATCAAGTTCACCCAGCAATTCTTCTTGTCTCTCTAGTTCTTCAAGCCGAGCCCACAGTTTCTTATCAGCAAGCAAATCCTTGGATTTTACATCATTTGCAAAATCTGCTTCAAAAATGTCTGAAGTTTTGGGTTTGGAATGAGGTTTATGAGCAATTCGGTGTTTTGCTACTTAAAAAAAAAAAAAAGAAAGAAAGAAAAGACATGGCTGTTAACAGCCCACATTAAAAGAGCATAAACCCAAGCTTGGTGAGACTTTCTTTGGAACGAAGGGAATGCTGAGAAAGAGGAGGAATGATTTTTAAGCCAAACAGGAGAACTCCAAGGAAACGTGTCTCTTAGAGCCTTGCTACTAAAAGTGTGGTACATGGACCAGCAGCACTAGCATGTCTAGGGAACTTTTCAGAAATGGAGATTCTCAGGGCTTTCCCAGACCTGCTGGATCAGAATCTGTATTTCAACAAGAGCTCCAGAGAATTCACATGCCATTAAACATTGTGAAGGGCTACTCTAGAACTTCAAAAATGCATAAGCAGAAACAGACACGATACACTCTCAGATTATAATGTAAAATTCAACAAAAGAAATACCCATTTACCATCCTTACTGAAGAGAATTTTGTTACTAAAGTAGGATACAAAAGCCTTATCATAGGATGCTTTACACTCTAAGGCACTGTCAGGAAAGAATACCCTAACAGGAAACAACAGAAGCTAATCTCTGGAAAGTTCTACTACTTTTTAAATTGCTTTATTTTACTTGTAATCCTCATGTGAGGGCAGGAATTAGATCAAATCTGAACTCAAATCTATCTGCTTTTCATTAAAAAAATAAATAAAAGGATTTTTTAAAATAAAGCAAATTAAAGCTTTGTTTAAAAATTAAAGAAAGTAATGGGAATTGGTCTAAAGTACTGTCTGTTATGAGATATGGATGGTACTACCAGATGACCTCAAGCCCATCACTTATTCAAATTTACATCACTATTTTCTTTTTCTTTTTTTTTTTTTTTGTCCTTTTAGAGACCGGCCGCACCGCACTCAGCCAGTGAAAGCTGTGAGCGCACTGGTCATCCCTATATAGGATCCAAACCCACGGCGGGAGCGCTGCTACACTCCCAGCGCCGCACTCTCCCGAGTGCGCCACGGGCTCGGCCCTACATCACTATTTTCTAAATTTGAAAATATCAAAATTAGGTTTCATAGCTTTATTCACTATAATTATTATTGATAAAACAGTACTGACAATTTTTATGTTTCAGACCTGTAGCATACATAATTTTTCTTTGGTCATCACAAACAAAAAAATCTTAACTTGCCTTTCTGCTCTTTAAATTTAATATGTCTCCTTTATTTGACCTTCAGTCTTCCTGTTACTTGTGATGCCACTTCACTATAGATATTATGGCTAGAATATGCCT